AGAGAGAGAGAGAGAGAGAGAGAGAGAGAGAGAGAGAGAGAGAGAGATTGATTTTCTGAAAGTTTCCAAGAGCAACAGTCACCTCTGCCCTCCCTCTCAGGCCCACTTACCTTTCCTGGGACCAGGGTCAGCACCACTCACCCAACTGTGTGGTCTGTTTTCCCCTGCCCTTCTGTCCTCTGCTGCTCCTTGTCTGTCACTTGAGCACTATTAACTCACGCCTAACAATTGTTCCTGTGCCCCAAAGATGCATGTTGGGAGGACAGACACTGCCTGTGGCCTGCAAGGATGGTGAAGACAGTGTCATACGCTGCCAAAATCACAAACACTGCTGTGTCCCTGATGTCACTTAACACTCCCTGCTATAACCACTGATGGAGTCCTTGGCTGGACCACTCCTATGATGTCCACAAAAATCCAAAAAAGAAGAAAAGACCCTACTGTGGATAGAAAGGGCACGGCTTCTGGTCCCGTCGTCTCCACAGCACATTAAAACTCACAGACTCGTGGTTTGTGTCTGTCAGTCATGATGGGCTTGGGTCGGGAGATGGAAGGACAGAGTTCGGAGGCGGCAGAGAGAAGCCGTCAGGACTGGATCATGGCAAGAAGGTGAGGAGCACAGTGTTGAAGATGCTGTCACCTGCCAGCCTCACTTATTGAGGCGTACATAAACCGAGGGAGCATGGGGTGGGTGGAACCACAGACTTAAAGGAACCTCAGATGCCTGGACTGCTGGTTCATCTTTGGAGGGAATGGGTCAAGGGTGGACAGGGGCTGAATCTTTGGATTTCTAGGGTCACCAGCTGAAATACCTTCTAAAGTTCAAGGGCTCATAGCCCCAGGGACCAGAACGTTTCCAAATATGAAAAGCACCTGCAACTTAGTCAAGCTTGCTCGCTCTTTGTCTTGAGCACTCTCTCTCACGGAATTGTTCGCATATCCATCTCAGTTCTGCCTCTCATCTCCGATGGACCCTATGTATAACCCCTGCGGAACCTCAGCGCCTCGTTCTGGTAAAGCTGAACAACAGCATTATGTAGCTCAGGGTTGCAATAAGAATTTAACGGGCTCAGAGCATGAGGTCCAAGTGGCCAGCAAACGCTGTCTGCAGCTACCATGCCAGTTTCTGCAAGCCTCTGATGAGTAAATGCCGCTGATCTTCCCTGACTGTGGCAGGGGGTGGCAAGCGACAGAAGTCTACATCATTTGGATGGGTAATTAACATGGGTGAACTTAGACATTGGGAATTTAAGGACCCTGATGAGGAGTCTGTGAGACTGGATGCTTCAAATCCTGGTCTTGAGGCCTCATTTATACACCCCTATTTGCTATTAATGATGAGGTCATGGGCCTGGTTGACTCCAGAAGCATGGCACGTGCCATCAAGACAGAAGTTCATTATGATACAGGAAGAGAACATTATAGGAAAAGTGACACACACTCCCCCCTCCCCCCCCCCCCCCCCCCCCCCTCCCTCACCCCTGGGCTTTACCTCTAAGTTCCTCCCTACAGGGTGAGAAGATACTGG